CTACAATCCTATTTCTGACCTTTTCCCTCTGCCTCACAGGGTGAGTACCCTAGCATACCCCAGAGCGTTGGTTTTGCTGTCAAAGACCACGATGTAATTCAGGTCATTTCTTACCTATTCTCACTAGGAATGATCATAACGCACGCTTTAGGAAGAAGGACTCGCCGATGGCGTCAGGATAAGACCTGTTCCTTGTGATTCATGCGCCCGGCGAGGTCGCAGTTGTATTGGCAAGGATGGACGTGCCTGTCTGCCTTGTAAGGAACGCCGCGTTGCATGCTCACACGTCGCCAAACCACGAAAGGACATAACCGTGGGTACCCCCGAATCTGACCCTCAAGTACATTCCACCAACAGGCGGCTGCACCAACCGCGGCCTGATGTCCGTCCCAGCGACTTATCATCGGGCAGTGCTGGCCCAACTTCGCATGCAAAGTCGAGTGCGCTGAAGAGCCGTGGGCCGGGCATCCAGGCACCATCTGTACCGGATGGCGAGTGCGTGCGCGTGGACTGGATTGGGGATGGTAAAGGCGATTCGTTTAGGTGCGATGAAGATGAGATTACGGAGGCAGCGAGTGCGGCATGGAAATCTACCGGCTGGGAGAGAGGGGTGGAGGTAGAAAACTACCCGAGTGGATTGTCCGCTGAGGACTGTGATCGAATCTTGGACCAGATACGGGCACTTGAGGAGAAAGCGAGCGATATTGTGGATGAGATGTCTGCTCTCAAAACATTCCTTTTCCATTGAGGTGAGGATCACACTCATTCTGTCTGAAAGGCATTCATTGAGAAGTCTTTTAGATTTATTTGATGTACATGACACTCATATTCAGACTGATGTAAATACCCTTTGCTCATTATAATCAGAGGTAGTTATAAGTTAGGCATAACTTGAATATGATCAGATCAGAATGAACGAAAATAACTGTACTGTACGTCTCGTTACCAATCAATTAAGTTACCGCAAGTAAGGTTAGGTGTGTCGGCTCCGACCGGTGATTTCCGTTTTTCTCATGGTCCCGCATCGGCCGCATCACTTCAGCGACATCCTTTTCTAGTTTCTAGCAGACTCACTGGTCCCGCATTCGCCATCCCAATGCCCGAGGACGTCGAGTTTTGCTATCGACTCTTCACCGCCCGGAAGTCAAACGCTACAAACCACGTCCTGTTGAGCAACGGAAAAAATACACAACAAAGTTGTGGAACGCGCTAGTCCGCCCACTCGGGTACCTGCACGACCCATGCACGGAGCCCTCAAGGGCCATTCCAAACTCCACACCTGAGTATGGAACGAGACTCTCTCTTCGTAGCACGGGTCTATCTGAGGGGTTTCATTGAAGAAGATATCGACTCTCTCTTTGATGCAGTTCCTGTCCCATTTGACTTTTCGCTTTCCCGTCACCACCTTGCATCTCGCGGAAACGGTGAGGGCTGAAGTGCGTCCGCAATGTTCCGGAGCGCAGATATGGGCGAAGCGGCCGGAGGATGCACTTGGATCCTGTTCGCTCGATCGTGGGTTGGGCTTATGGCACAAATCGAGTGGAGGTACGCCTTTCTCTATCGACGGGGTTCTCCCTCGACGCCTTTAAATCTACTTATAACGTCAACTACAACGTCTCTTTCTTGCAGCGACTGGAAGCTGCCACGGAACAAGATGACACCGATAGTTTGCACCCCCAGAACGGTGCTGATTACGGAGATAGTAGTCATTGCGAACTCACACAGGTCCACTCCTCCCCCTGGCCTCGAGCTGCCATCGCGGAACAGGTCGCCTTTGGCCGAGGACATGGCAGATGAAGCTTTGCATCTTCCCGATGATGGCGTGGTCTTGGTCGAGGATGGACAACGCTGGATAAGGTGAAGGTGGTGGGGTTTATCGATGCGCCAGGCGTGGATCGTGCGAACGAGCGAGGCAGTGTCGCTCGTTAGGTGCTAAATGCTAGTGAAGCGCAAATACTTGGGCAAACGTTCACAACGTCGCCGGGCCCTTTCCTCTTAGACATCGGCTCCAACACGCCGCGTCACCAACAAGCGTTCCCATTCAGACGACGGGAGACTAATGAGCAACAAGAACCTTCCCGACTGGAAGACGGTAAGTATCCTATGCTGGGTTCGGTGACTCATCAGCATTACAGTACTGATGCATTTAGCAGTGCGCGTGGTGTGTTCGTTGAAAGATCATGTGCCACCTCGAGGACGTCGTAATTCCCGCTCTTCCTCCAAAGCACTATTCTTTGTTGGGCCCAGTTTGGCTTGGCAAGATAAGGAGATACTTCTCGCTCAACTCCAGGTCCGTCCGGAAGGCCGAACGCGCATACAACGTGAAGGTCGCACTCGAGCGAAACCCCTTAGCTGATGAGCGATACCTCGCAGCCCTCGCAGCTGGAAGGTGGACCAGTGTGTTGACTACCCTCAGATCAAATGCCTGAGATGACTACATGATATCATTCTGAGACAGTATATAGAGCTTTGATAACAGAAGAGGGGAAAGTGTGTAGTAAACTATAAATAGGGAAAGGGAGAATGACTGCCTCTCACCTGCAGGGGGGCTATTTCTAATGTATGTAAGGTGGACATTATGTAAGATATATTGGAAGTTTGATTTATATAATGTGAAGTATGCTTATAGCTTCTTGCATAAAAATGGTATGAGAGAAGGCAGTGGTGAGAGTGATTAGATACAATAGGTGTGTCAAATTACAGTGGAAGTTAACATAGTGAATGAATATTGTGAAAATGAATTTGAACACTGTTCTACCATTCATTCAGTGAATGCAATTTTTTCAAAAAAATTATTTAGTCTTACAGTATGTCTAAGCACACTAACAACATAATCTCAACTTTGTGATGTGGCTCCACTCCAAACCTATTGAAGGCTTGCAATTTTCAAATCACGTGACCTTGTTTATCGCTTACATAAGCATTTGTAAGTGGCTGATGGCTTTTGCTTTCCATCACTGGCCTGGCTTTTTCAGACTCTCAGTTGATGATCCCATCCCCAGGTAATGCACCCTCCTCACAGATATCCTTCCTCTTCCAATGAAGTATTCATTAGCGAATTCAGCCCGGAACAGTTCTTCATCCACTTTTTCAAGCTCAACAATACCTTCAAAGTCTTCTCACACATCCATTTTCCTTCTTTCACCACCATCCTCAAAGCCAGATGAGAATTCCCTCCCGACATCAGCACCGCCAGAGTCCATGAACGGCTTTTCGAGACGATGGTCTCCCCACCACGCATCCAACAAGCGCAAACGCGATTCTGAATCTCGTAGTTTGAATGATTTGCAGTTGCGCGAGGCCCAGGAAAAGGTGGAGCAAAAGCGCGCGAGGATTGCGGCCCGGGTCCCTGCCATCATCGCTCCGAATGCAAGGCCTACGTCAACACCAGTCACGTCTCTTGCGGACCTCTACGCCCAGATGCGCCGCGACAGCGGTGCGTCTGGTCAACAGCCCACGTCCAGCGTCGTCCCCTCCACGAATGCCATCCCTGGGAACGGCCGGCTTCTGGATAGCAGGGCTCAAAACGCCGGCGACGGTGTGCCAAAGCTCAGCTTTGCCGTCGTGGTTCCCACACCGCCTAAACATTCAACACACAAACAAACTCGTGTTGAATCGAAGGAAGACAAAGTTTCGGAGCCTTTCGAGTATGGAATGAGACGCTCCCATCGTGGCATGGGCCTATCTAAGGATCTCACAGCATGGGATATCGACATACTCCTTGACGCCGTTCCTGTCCCATTTGACTTTTCGCTTGCACGTCGCCACCTAGCATCTCCCAAAAGCGTGAGAATGAAGAGCAAAGTGAGGAGAGCTCTTGTGGTGGTATCATCCGATCTTCGAGGCACGTGCCAAGGCGGACATCCGCCGTACTCTGGCCGCATTTCTTCCTAGTGATCCCGCGCAGGATCCACCATTTCCAATAGGGGGCGCGGGTGGCTGGAAGGCGGAAGTGCGTCCGCGAGAGTCCAGGGCGCGGATTTGGGCGGAGCGACTGGAGGATGCGTTTGGGCCTGGTCCGCTCGATCGTGGGTTGGGCCGTAAGCCGCGTCGCCTAGCAGTGAGTCTATTCTTTTCTCACTATGGATGGGGGCTCGCGCCCTTTTACTACTACACCGAACTGACTGACTAAATAATACATCTCGGTTTACAGCGACCGGCAGGGGCGGCGAAGCGCTTCCAAAACGGTGCTGGTGGCGTAGTGGTCATCCCGAACTCGCACAGGTCCACTCCCCGAATCCTCGAGCCGCCATCGCGGCGCAGGTCGCCAAAAGACGCGGCGGCTGATGAGGCCTTCTTCTATTCTCTTGGACCTGAAGGCGGCGCAGATTTGGTCGATGCTGGTGCGAATGCAAGTATAAGCGGGAGCGAGAGCGAGGCTGCGGCCGCTTGGACGGCTGCACTACTTCCGCTGGTGAAGGGAAAAATAACGTTGGATAAGACGAAGATAGCGCAGACCAGCGATGCGCTAGGCGAGGTTGAGCATGTCAACAAGCGAGGCATTTTCGCTCGCGAGGTACTAAAGGTAAGTAAAGTGTTACTCTCGCGTGCCCCCATTGAAGATTGGCTGTTGACTGGTTTAATGTGGGCTTTAGGAGAGCGCGCTGGGGGACACGGTACGGAGGCTAGGTGAGCTAGATAGCGTCCCTTTAGGAGACGTATATCGCTTGCGTGTGCGTGCACGGACGTTGGCAGAGCAGTGGAGAGAGGCGTTTGGTGATGAGGTCGTAGATTTGCAACGGGGGGTCTTGTTACATGTATCCTAGACTGCACGCATCAGGTTTGCTTTCGTTTTCGCTTTCGTTATTTATTTTTTTCCGTTGGGGTTCACGTGGTTTATCCGGGGTGATAGTTCGTTGGACGGACGATGCATGTCATCCGTTCCGAACCACCCTTATTCGGCAAGTGTAATCGTCATACCAATCAATCATCAACATCACCATTAAACTGGAGGGGCGAAAAATCAACGCCCCCAAAAAAAATTTGATGAAAGGGAAAAGTAGCAGCACCTCGTTTCGATCGAGGGACCTCAGGGTACCACAAAGTGAGTATGGGCCCTGCGCGCTATACCAGCTGCGCCATGCTGCTTCCGAAATTCTCATTCCTTTACGTTATTTAATCTTATCTCCACGATCAACATCAACATCAACAATCAACAATCAACACAACACAATCGTACAGTACTCATGATTTATCAACGCATCGTTGCCTTACTTGAGTACAGTACAGCCCACGACGGGACTACAAAACCTAGTAAAAGGAGGGTTTCTTTGCGTTTCATCGGGGGTTTTTTTTTTGGTTTATCGGGACGATAGGGGGGTTTTTTTTCTCCAAACTAACCATTGTCAATCTCCTCCGGACCCCACGCCACCCCCGAACGCCCCATTGCGCACCCCAGCCCCGGCGTAACTGCTGTATAATAAGGTGCGTGGGATAAAAGAAGTAGTAGGGCGATGATGTGATCAACTGCGGAGAAACGAAAACTCCCCGTAAAGTATACTTACACTTATGCGGTCGCATCTCGACAGCAGGCCTAGGAAAAACTCCATAGCGCGGCTATAAAAACCTGTCCATCTCGGGCCCTCGGACGGGAAAGGTTAAATGTTTAACTTGCCTGATAAAAGCTATTTTTACTCCGCGTGTTCCGCCATCAATGATCAATGGCAATTTGTCCTCTTTCCGAACGTTATTTGTTGGGAGAGCATTTCTTTAGAAGAAAGGTCAAGTTGTAGTTGTATGTACTCGTATATGTATAACGGAGAGGACAACTTTTGCCACCTAATATTGAGAGTATTGAGTATGTGTACATCATGCACGCACGCAGTGTAATGCAACAAAAAAGAAAGAAAAAAGGAAAAGCGGAAGGAAAGGAATGGAAAAGATATGGAAAATTTGACTGGGTAAGACACGGCGAGAATACGGAAGTATTGTTTACAGGCGGTGAGGGAATCGGTATGTATGGATGAGCGAGGTCTGGGAATGAGAGGAGAGAGGAGGTTCTACTGTACTTGTAGTGATGCAAAGCGCGACGGGGGACTCGTGATAGGAGAAACGTGACGGCTCTACCGCGTGTGAGTAAATGGACTCGCCATGCGTAAATCTCCAGAGCCATCTTCATCCTCTTCCCGTTCTCCATCGGTCGCCCCATCATCTCCATCATCCCGACTATCATCTCCGCCGCGAACACTCCACGCAGGGCGCACCGTCGGCTCGTCGTCCGTACTCTCGTCACCACCGCCATCGGTACTTTCTGTCTCTGCTTCAGACGCGGATGTCGCGTGTGAACACGCGGAAGCGAGCGAGGCCGATGACGCTTGGTGTGCGAGCTTCTGGACAGGTCGCATGTGCGGCGTGTTGGGGCCGTCGCCACCGTACGCGTCCATTGCACCCATAGCGCGGCGTGGAGCCGAAATAGTCGGTACGGGTAGATCGGAGGGACGGGTACGCGACGGAGAGTTCCCTTGGGCGTGAAAGACGAGTCGTCGAGCATATACTTGCATCTCTTCAGGTGATATCATTAGACGAAAATCGTTGAGAAGAAGGAAGTGTAGTTCTAGCTGATTAAGCTCATGTTGTGGGAGGCCACCGACCTGCATTCATATTGGTGGTTAGCAGAAAACGAGAGATGGAGAAGGGGATCATCATGCCTTGGCGTAGCGTGAATTTGTGTAAAACACGTCAGAGAAAAATTTTGATGCCACAGTTACACCCGCGATGACGAGGCGGTGGATGTTACAGCTGTCAATGATGAATTCGTTTCCGGTCGACTCTTTCGCGAGCTTGGCCATGCGATCGAAATAAACGAGGAGGGAGACAAAGACCTCGTTTGTGGTTGGACAATACTTGAGGATACGGAGGAGGTAGGATTCGAGGGTGATTGTGGGTGCGGTGCGGGCATGAAATGAGAGATAAGGGGGAGAAGAGGTGAGGGCTGTGCGAGATGCGAGGGTGAGGGATGGCCAAATGGGTGAGTGGGAATAACGATCCAAAGTAACGTGGGAGATCTGGGAGTGTATGGGAGAGGTTGGAGGCTTTGGTAATTCATCGTTCGCATCAACGATCTGCTTGAGAAGGGCAGCAAGGAGGCGGAGAAGGTCTTGTGACGGGTATTCGTGGATGTTAAATACAGATGGAGAACGGGGAGGGGGGGATGAGTGACGACTGTGGTGGGGAACGTGGCGGACTTGGAGGGCAGTAGAAGGAAGGGAGGAAGTGGTTGACGATAAGGCGGAGGGGACTGTAGAATGAGCAGAGGAGGGTTGGGAATGAGATACAGATGGATGTGATCGTGGAGGAGGAGGGACAGTGATGGGAGAGGGAGCTGATCTCTTTGGGGTTCGCGTCGTGGGATAGAGGGAGGATGAGGGGGAGAACTGGCGTAGATGAGGGTAGGATGTTCTAGGGCGAGCATAACGATGTGACGGTACGAGCGCTCGCCGAGAGGGATAAGTGACGGGGCTATATACAAACACGGCCTCGCTGGATCTATCAACACTCTGCTCGGTCGAAAAAAATGTGTCGACCGAGGATCCCATATCGCCCACGTGCCAAATATTGATGACAAATTTACTTCCCTCTTCTTCTACCTCTCCTCTCTCTTCTCCACACTCACACTTCCTCGCTCGAGGTCTAGAAACTCTAGCTTATAATCCGATATCTCTGTCATCTCCCTGTTGCCCTCCATTTCAAGTTTCAGCCCACAGGCGCCTATTCAGAACCAATCAACGTCTGGTTGGCTCGCACATTGTACCCCCGGTCATTATTCTTGTTGAATGTTCAAATGCGGCAACGGGTGGGTCAACATTGCCCCTTTCGGCCGCCCTAAACGACAACATGCATGCTCAATTACATAGCTCGACACTAATTATGCGAGGCCTCAGGCTTTCACAGCGTTGCATCAGGATCAAAGTCGCGCCTCGCCATTCATATCCTACCATCCATGTCCGTGAGAGGTTGACTTGTCGAAACAATAAGTTCGACAACAGCGTAGGACCTGGGTGGCGTGTCGTGCCGTTATGCTCGATCTCAGATTCCTACGAAAGGTCGGTACTAGTAGTAGACTGATCTAGACTTTTATAACTTATCACACGAGCAATCGATGTCTTGTCCTGAGTTTTGAGTTAAAAGCACAATATATTTTTGGATGGATACACAACAAGAATGGGTGTCCCCTGGTTGTTTTTTTACAGTAAGCCAGTTGGTTGACGCGATTTGTGGCAATTACAAGTCAAATGAGGTTTACGTAATCACAAGTTGATTCCTCTCCTCTGCACCATGGGGTCGACTGCCCCCTCCGCCCCCATCCCAGGCCAGGCCAGGTCAAAGAACTTACGGGCTTGTCTGCTCTGCTCTATTATACAAACCCCCATCGACTTTCGGCGCAATGGTTGTCCCAACTGTGAAGACATCATGCAGGTAAACTGACTACCACCAAAGCGTTTGCAAAAACTGACGTACCCTTTCTCTCGAAACGTGAAAATTTCCTTCTCACATGTAAAACAGATGAAAGGCTCACCAGATCGGATTCAGGCGTGTACGACGACGCATTTCGACGGGACCATTGCCGTCACTGATCCGGAGAAAAGCTGGGTGGCGCGGTGGCAGCGAACGAGTGCGTCTTTTTTTTGTTCTGTTTTGCCTTTGTCATCCCCTCCACCCTCTTTTTTTTTTGGACCTCCGGATGCTAATACACACGGTGATAGATAAATATGTTCGTGGTGTGTATGCAATCACCGTGAAGGGGCGTATCCCCGAAGACGTCGAACAGGAGCTTGAAGTACAGGGTATCAAGTACCGTCCACGCGACCAGACTGAGGTCGATTGACAAAACAATGGTTGTGCGCATTTCAGGTCCCAATCTTATCGCTTCGATCTCCAGTCCCCTGGTTCCTCTCAACTCTGGCCCGGAAAGATGGGGTCATGTGCTCGTTGTTTTCTTGTACTTGTACGTCGCGACAAATTTAATTAGGGGACAGGGATATAAACACATAGGTAAATTACATGTCGATGAAGTTACGGTGGCGTGCACGACATGCTGAGCCTGCTAAACATGTAACCTCCCATGTGACGTACATGTGCAAGCTACGCAGACCCGGGTCAGTCAATATCTTGATGAACGCGAGGATGTCCGGTATCTCAAATGGACGGGTGCAATGCCAACGCGGCACATGACATGACGCTCAAAGAACACGTCTGGGGCGGATACAGTAGAGGTTACACAGTGACATTGCTTGCTTCGAGCATTGCGAGTATAGAGGAACAGTATGTGGGTATTACATGTGGAGTGGCGTGTGGAAGGAGACATATGGGATCGTGGCGCCACCCAGGCCCAAAATTTGTGTAAGATGGGACGCCGCGGCCTCCGCTTTGCAAAGGTTCATAGCGATGTGAGAAATATCGGGACGATCCCTGGGAGAGTCACGAGATGAGGTCGCATGAAACCACAAAAAACGCGGGTGAGTTGAAAGGCGTGGAGGATCTATAGAATATGGAGTTACCAACAGGCCAGGAGGGAGAAGCGGTAAAAAAACGTTGGGCAGACAACTTGCGGGCCTCGACACAGGGAGGGGATGGATTGTGAGGAATATGAGTGCACTATTAACAAGCCCATGATGGATCCGATCATCATGATGCATCATTAATGCATCATTCTCCACAAGCATTCGACAGGAATTCAAGTCATTCAAGCGTTAGTCCGAGAGGATGATAATTACCAAAAGGTGGTGAGTTCAGTTCAGATCGTTTTGACAACCTTTTGGAGTCAAAACGAGCTGAACCAAATTCACCTTTGGCTTTGTTAAAAACTAGGCCTGCGTGCACGCATGCTTGCCCTCACACGCACTCACGCACTCAGAGGCAAGTAGAACTTGAAGGGTGTCGCACCTGTCAGTTGTTGCCTGCCTATGTGGACGAACAACGTGGTGTATGCAGGGGGGTTATGTGTTATGTGAACTCACCGCCGTTGGCTTGGCTTCGTTACAAGACCATATTGCAGAACGATGGCGATGTCGAGCGCCTGTTGCGGCTGCATGGTTCCGAGGATCTGTGTTGTAGCGCCAGGCTCGGCCGAGTGGGCAGAAAGGGAGAGA